TAAGACAAGTTCCAACTAATGTGCAACTAATGACTCAGTTAATTTACGTTATGCTGTTCAAACGATACAAACCTCTTCCACACATACATATATTATTTTCCAACCCCAAATGTTTCATTTATTTTCTCTGTGCACTCCTGCCTCGTACTCTTCTCCACTATTATTATGTTGTTTTACATCCTTTTGTACTGTCGCCTCGCATATCACTACAGTCAGTCTCTGAAGGACACTGACTCACAAAATATTCCTTAAGGTGATACTTGAAGATACAAACACAATAAGACCTCCAGGAGAAGCCTATAGTTGAAGGTCAGAATCTATTTTAGAGTGTGAAAGGTAACAGCTTGTAGCCTTCGTCAATATACACACTAACACATACACAGCTACCAAAATAACAGACAATTGACCAATTTTTACCAAGGTAAACCTTATATTTCTTATCTGTGGTAACAATGTTCTACTCGTCTGATTATTACATACTGTACTGGACCCCAAGACAAACTCATTCAACTAAACCCGTCAAGACAACTGGGAGACATGAGCGCTTCAAGCCAGAGCTCACGCACTCATTTTGCTTCAATTCTGGTCATTTTATTCCTTTGGTTACATCGGAATATACTGAGTTTCATTTTCACTTGATATTGTTTCTTATTCGATTGTCTGCAACTTTAAGAGAAAGTATGATAGCTATGGAAACCTTTAAGTGGTGGTAACTCTACAGTTGCTTTCTGTGAACTTGATGAGGTCACCAGGTGGAATGCTAAAAAATGCGCCTTTATAGCGCTGTTCCTATTCTGAGCGTCCACTATTACTGGGGGGCTTCAACATAATGTTAGCCATCAACATGTAAGACGGACGGACGCACAGACAATCCAGAAACCTCATACGCCGCGATATCGCGCAGGATACAGTACTTGAAAATTATTGATGCTGAAATACAAATGGGGACTCCCTACACCGCTAGCGCGCAGTCTTGTTACAGCCCAGGCCTAAATTATAAAGACGTCAAGTTAATATTTCAACTTAATTAGCTATGGAAGGACGAGGTACGAATATTCGAAATTCCAAGCGAAATTTCGCTGGGTTATTATCCAAACAACCACAACGCATTGTTGTCATTTTTCGTCCTCTGAGTCACACACACATAGATGCTACTATAGTTTAGGTCAGGTTAGGTTAGACTTAAGATATTTTTGTAGACCGCAAGCTATAGTAGCACCAAGAATTCTGTGTGTTGGACTTTTTTTTGAGAGAGAGAAAGGAGGGGTGAAAGAAGATTAGAGGTGGGGGAATGAAGTTATAGTTCAGAAATTGAAGAAATTTAGGAGGAGGTAAGAGAGGGCGGGCTAACCGCCTAGCTAAGCTAATAGTGTTAGGGTTGTGTCATGAGTTAGTTATTGTCTGTCGGTACAGGCACTAGACGTCCTACCCTGTCCCACATATGGGTGTTTTAAGGGCCTTATTTCATATTCCGCCAACCCTACTGGCGGATGCTGGTCTAGGGAGGTTGTCTATTGTCTGGCCGTGTAAATCGGGGGTGGTAATGGACCTTTTGAGATTTAGTAACTTTTGGGTAACCATGTATGGTTGTTGTCGTTATCTGGTGGGAGTCTTTGAAGGAGTGCTTGCTCTGATCGTTCTATGTTTAGCCAGATTCTGCTGGCCAGGGTATGCAGCTGCTGGTTGATGGGTTTCATTCTCAGGTCTCTATGTATCTCGGCTGTGGTTCTGGTGAAGGGGTATCTTTCACCTGTGACGAATCTTAGGGCTTCATTTTGGACCACCTGTAATTTTAAAATTTGAGTGGTGCTCATAGTATGAAGAGGTATTGCTGGGTAAGTTAATATCGGTGTGATAAATGATGTCACCAGGCGAAGTTTTATTTTCTCAGGAAGCGCTTTAAAGCGGTATAGTTTTCTCAGCTCTCTTCTTGCTTTTTCCTTCCTGCTGTGGACATGATGGGAGTAACCTGTCGTGAATATATGCAGGCCCAGGAGGGTGCCTCTGCTTTTGTATTCTATGTGGGCATTATTGGTTACTAATGGATGGGTTTTCCTTCTGCATAAGGGTATCACTGTGAATTTCGGGAGATTGGTTTGGATTTTCCATTGTTTTTCGTAATTATTTACCCTTTCTAATTCCCCGCCTGGTGTTGTCGGCCTGTAACGCTCGCGATTTTCCTTGATGTGTTGTTATTTGAGTGATGTCATCTGCATACATAATATCTTCGTTACCTATTCTAGTGGGAGGCGGGCTGTCACTTGTGTAGATAATATATAGGGTAGGGGAGAGGACGCTCCCCTGAGGGACTCCGCTCATGAGTGGGAAGAACTCTCCTGTGTGTTGTCCTGCCCTCAGTCTGGCATTTCTGCCGTCAAAAAAGTTGCAAAGCAACTTTTCAATATTGGTGGGAAGTCCGAGTTGGAGGATCTTATATGTTAGACCGTCATGCCAGACTTTGCCAAATGCCTTCGCTACATCCCGGAGAGTCAGATTACATTGTCTACCACTCGCCGCGGCTCTGGCTGTGTTTTCACATGCCAGGGCTATCGTTGTTGTGGTGGACTTCCCTTTCCTGAACCCGAATTGTCTGCAGTTGACTCTGTTTGTGCCAGACTTGTGGAAACAGGTAAATGTAGTACCCATATTCAAAAAGGGAGACAGAGCATCAGCGTCAAATTACCGGCCGATCAGTTTGGGGAAATTTATTGAATCAATTATAGCAAATAGGATCCGATGGCATTTAGAGAAAAGCAAATTAATCTACGACTCTCAACATGGGTTTACAAAGGGAAAATCTTGTCTAACAAATCTGCTGACTTTTTTAGGAAAATCTTCGAGGTAGTAGATAATGACGAAAATTACGATGTTATTTACTTAGACTTTAGCAAAGCATTTGACAGAGTACCGCATCAGAGGCTTCTGAGAAAAGTTAAGGCTCATGGTATCGAGGGGAAAGTTTTAAATTGGATAAAATCATGGCTCACCGATAGAACGCAGAGGGTTCAGCGTAGATGGTGTTAAATCTGAGTGGGGCTGTGTAACCAGTGGGGTTCCCCAGGGGTCAGTACTGGGCCCACTCTTGTTCATAATCTACATAAACGATCTAGATACTGGGATCAGCAGTGACATAAGCAAGTTTGCGGATGACACCAAAATAGGGCGGCAGATTAATTCAGGGCAGGATGCAAATGCACTACAGGAGGATTTAAATAAACTGCAGGAGTAGTCAGAAAAATGGCAAATGAAATTCAACACCAGCAAGTGCAGCGTACTTAATATTGGAAGAACAAATATTGTCAATGTATACAGCCTTAACAACATCAACCTAGAGAAGTCGACTTGTGAAAGAGACCTAGGGGTACTTGTAAGCCCGGACCCACGGCCTAGAAAACAGTGCGTTAATGTTCGAAATAAGGTTTTATATCTAGAAGTGTAAGTAATAAGAGTGCAGAGGTCTTATTGCAACTATATCTTGCGCTAGTCAGGCCGCACCTAGATTATGCGGTTCAGTTCTGGTGCCCTTATTATAGAATGGATATCAATTCACTGGAGTCGGTGCAGCGAAGAATGACGAAATTGATTCCGGGACTTAGAAACTTTCCATATCAAGACAGATTAAAGAAACTAAACTTGCATTCCCGAGAAAGACGAAGAGTGCGGGGAGATATGATAGAAGCATTTAAGTGGGTGAAAGGAATCAATAAAGGGGATATAGTTAAAGTTCTTATAATATCCGAGCAGGATAGGACTCGGAGCAACTGATTAAGTTGGACAAGTTTAGGTTTAGGAGGGAGTTAGGAAGGAACTGGTTCACAAATAGGGTGGTGGACGAGTGGAACAAGCTTAGCAACTTTGTAGTAAGTGCTGGAACGCTGGAAAGTTTTAAAAGGAGGCTAGATAGATTCATGGATGATAGAGAGTGGTAGTAACTCTCGACAGGAGCTGCCATGCACAGGCCAACCGGCCTATTGCAGACTCCTTATTTTCTTATGTTCTTACTTCCCTAAACGGCGGCCACATTCAGAACTCGACAGATTAATATCATAAAAATAGACAATCTGTACATCGCAGTATAAATATAATGTCAACGTTACCGGCATAATAACTGACTTCGACAACATATAAGGAAACAACAACAGTATCAAACTAGACACTGCAGGAGAGTTGTTTTGAGGAAGCTGGTGGCGGTTCTGAGGAGATTAGCGCCAGTTCTAGGAAAATTTAGCGCCAGTCTTGGAGAAGTTAGCGAGTTCTCAGAAAGTTATCAGCAGTTTTTAAAAAGGTGTCATAAGAGCAACGAGATAGTGAACCGATAAATAATCAAGAGTTTAAGAACATCCTGACTCTAAACTCAATATAATGGTCTCATGTCCTCCACCTTGTTATGATCACAGTGACTTTCAGGTGTAAGGTTCTCGAGATTCTTGCTAAAGGTTCTGACGAGATGGGTTACAAACCTGATTCTTTTTTTCTTTTTCTTTTCTTTTTTGGCCAAGGACGAGGAGATAAAGAGGAGGAGAAAGAAACTCTGAGACCTGAAAAAACTGGGGAGAGTAGGTGTGTGCGTGTGTGCGTGTTAATGTACAGGTATCGTACTGGACTAGAGTAGGTTAATGGTAATATTCGGTTTTTTTTTAGTTTCTTGTAGACTAGCTTGTCCATTTTCCGTGTCAATAATGTGTGGTTCGTTTGATTGTCCAGGGTGGCTGCCCTTGCTGGCGACTCAACCTTCACTGTACTGTAGGTTCCTGTTTTTTTTTTCTCTCTTTTTCTTTTTTATGGGGAGGGGGGATAGGACAATGTGGCCGATATGAGGGTGGAGGAGGTGGGAGTCAGTAGGGTGTGGAGGGAGTCAGTGAGGTGTGGGGGAGGAGTGGAGGGTGTTGAGGGTGTGCGGGGGAGTGGAGGGTGTTGGGGGTCTGGGGTGGGTGGGTGGATGAGGGCACGGCGGGATAGGGGGCGGGGCTGCTCCATGAGGAGGCAAGGGGCAAGGTGTAGACTGTGTAGTCAGTGTTCGCGAGGTGGTGAGAGCGAGTAGGCAAAGGTAGCAGTTCTCCTCTCCCGGACCCGTTGGAGATTAATTGACAACTTCCGCGACAAGTTCATGGAGACATATTGCGGAAACGTGATCTAAAGGATAAATGAATCCGGAGACAACTTTTATCACCGAGTCACAACATCCTCAACCTCTCGCAGGAGTTATTCATCACAACAAGCAAGACCTGTAAACATCACTTTGTAACTCCGAACACTCACCATGGCTTTGGACTTCTTCGCAGGATGTCTTGGAGGTAAGTGTGAAAACTAGTTGTTGTACGAAAGTGTTGTAATTACTTTGTCCTTAGAATTAGGTTTCAAATGGCACAGTATCAACATCAGGAATAAGACCAGAACTGCAACTCTCACAAAAACTGTATTCTCTGTGGTTTGAATATAAAGAACTTGTTTATTTTAATTTCCTTGACGAGTGTTTTCGAAAATTTTCACCCATAATGTGGAAAAACACCCATTTAGTGGTGAGGTTCTTCCCGCTGTTCATAGCTATGATTGTCTGTCAGTAGAACTGGTGTCTGAATGAAGATTTTGAACGGTTATCATGCTATATAAAATACATGACAACATAGCGTAATTGTAATGGGTAATGCGAGCTGTCGTTCAGATTACGACTTGCAGCTTAAAGGGATAAGAACATAAGAATGGAGGAAACTGCAGTTGGCCTATTGGCCCATACTGGGCAGTCCCATTTACACCCAACCCCCATTGTTCATATATCCATCCAAATCTATGTTTGAAGCTATCCAACGTATTCGAGTTAATGATGATATTTGGTAACTTGTTCCACTCGTCCACTACTCTATTTCCAAACCAATGTTTACCCATTTCGCGCCTAAATCTAAATTTGTCTAATTTAAAATCATTGTTACGAGTTCGCTCCTGGTTAGATAGTTTGAGTACCTTTGTAATGTCCCCTTTATTCAGCCCTGACTTCCATTTATACACCTCTATCATATCGCCCCTCACTCTACGACTCTCAAGGGAGTGCAAATTAAGATGCTTTAACCTGTCCCTGTACTCAAGGTTCCTAATGCCCGGGATTAGCCTTGTCATTCTCCTCTGAATTCTTTCTAAGGATTCTATATCCATTCTGTAATACGGATATTGAGCCACCGGCCAGCTGTTGACTTGAGTGCAGGAGGTTTTACAGTTGCAATTCTGACCATGACACAGTGCTGACGATGGACAGGAATCAATGAATCCAGGTAAAAAAGTCACAGAAAAAAAGTCACAGGGAAAAAAGAAAAGTTAACTATCGAATTCTCACATTTTTAAGGTTAATATGTCAATCAGTTTCAGTAAAGGAATATGCAGAACTGATGGTAACCTAACCTTTATTACCGGCCACCATAAATTAATTGTGACTTTTTTTCCTAGCCAAAATTGTGACTTTATTACCGCCCACCGAATCAATATAGCAGAGGGTGCAGATATATAAGCTAGTGGTTTTATTTGAGATTTTGTCCACTCTGAACTTTCACACCGCCTGGTCGACCTAAAGTGGCCATCAACACAATAAAACGGCATCAAATGCCTTTATAATATGGGCGGTTTCTATTTACAAAAGTATCATTCCTCGTAATAATATTTTGGTTCGCAGAGGATCAGCTTGGTGCACACAAACAAAGCATACGGGACTCAGGGGCCAGGGTCCACGTGTCATCAAGGTGGTGTGAAAGTGGGTGTTCTTCCCTTGCAAAACACTAACACACACTTTGTACATCCAGTTATTCTTTTCTCACTTTGTTCAGCTTACTGTTGTCGTTGTGGTCAAGTCGGACGTTTTTAATATGAGAATCTACGCATGGATGTTATGATCAGTTTAATTATAATACGTGCGGTTAACACTGAGGCAAGTTTCCGGTGGCCATGTGCTCGATGATGGTGAGCCAAGTTCTTGCACTGCGCGTGCGTAACACAAATTATTCTCATTTTCACACTGCGCATTTAGGTTAGGTTAATACCGATGAAAATTAATTTTAGTTTGTATTTTAATTATATAATGTTTCCTATATGCAGACCAGTCACGCACACGCTTGTTTGTTACCCCCTTGATTGTGACAGAGTCAGGTCTCGGAACTATGAAGCAACTATTTTTATTTTTCGACACTGAAAATGTCTGTCCACAGCGCAGCCATGGCTGATTGTAGAAAAGTCTACAGCAGCTCCTGGGCTAATACAAAGGTCGGACTATTAGCCCCCTGCAGCGGGTGCAGAGGGAGACAGTCTCAGCTCTGCATCCCCCACCTTGTTCAGCCCTCCCTCCTCTCCAACTCCCGAGATCTTAAAAGGCGATCTCGACCTTTTTTCCTCCTCTACGTGCAGCAACCTAAGCGTTCCCTAAACCCGGATGGCAAATGAAAATCCGGTCTACCTAGCCCCAACCTCTAATCGCTACAGGCTGGCATTTCCTTATGCAGTACCTCCGAACATGGGGGCAGCGAGGCTCCTCCTCCTACTGCGCCACACAATAAACCTGATCTCTCGTCCCGCAGCCACCGTTGAAGTTACATTTGATGACAAAGGACGGAGTTGTGGCTCCAGACGGCACTAAAGTTCGATTGACTCATATCCTTTGGAACATTCCACTGGGGAACGTAATGCATTTCTTACCGGATTTCCTTAATGTTTCTACCGTCATCGCCCCACTTCAAGGCAGTCTTACAAATAAATCCTCAGCTGGTGGCTTGGTTCTATACCAGACATGATCAACTTAGCAGGTGTCAATCCTGGGCATGCACGCAGCTACTGCGATGTAGTTTTTGTACGAGCCCCTGCGATACTCTATAACAAAGAGCCGGTGACTTCTCACTGTATCAACTGCCACGGAGAGTAACCAACCTTCGATGCTTGACCCCATGAAGCCACCGAAACCATTTCGGGATCAATTACTTCCCCCTGTAATGGTCTACCCACTGATTAACATTTCTATTCCTACACTCCCTCCGCCAGTCCTTTCTAAACCATGGAATCAAGTGGTCAGTCAAGAGTCTATCCTTCCAGGCTCTCAACCCACCTCCGCCCTCAGTTTCTTTCTCCCTAGTCGAGGTTCCACAGCTGATAACATCATCGACACACCCGACGCCTACGGCTCCAACTTCAACCACGTCTCCAACAACAGATCCACCTCAAGTTGCTTCTCATGTCTCAGACCCTCCCTCTCCCTCACTACCTGCCCCACCCCCTGGTCCCCCTCTGCCCCACATCCCCCACTGCCTGGAGAAACAGTAGATAACTGATCAGGTTTTTGTCTATCCTCCAGCCTCTTATGCACCTCCTGACTCCCCATCCATATGCAGCCATCCTCCACAGCTTCACCTCCCGTCTCCCACACCACTTGCAAACCTACCGTCTTACACGCCGTTTCCTGTAACACTGGATTGGGATACTCATCTTGAGCTATTGAGAGAATATTTTTTTTAATTAATTGAAATAATGTGGCTTCCGCCATGAAGACTACCTGCAACTATGCTACCACCTCCACGTGTTATAACAATCGATCAATGAACTGACATACAATCATACATACATCATTCCCTGGTTCTTGGAGGAAACCATTAACAGGGTCCAAAATGTATATTCAACAAGATTCACCCTAAATCCCTAATTAGGAGATAATAAGTAACTTTTCTTCTATGATATATATATATATATATATATATATATATATATATATATATATATATATATATATATATATATATATATATATATATATCTTGATAAAATCACACGGGAAAATGGAAACAACGGAGTACCTTAGCTTTCGTCTTTATTCAAGACATCTTCAGAGGCAACTGAATTACATGGACAGAGAGAGGCTTAAATATACAGGGTGACCTAAAAACATGAGGTCAGGTCATAATGATGACATCCACTAATCCCCACACCAACACAACCGTAGAGGAGCTTAAGAGAAGGGTGGTGACGTGACTAGACAGGTCAGGTCAGAAAAAAGGGACCCACAAAATAACTGTCATACATCAAGATCAAAGGTTTTCAAAGCATTTTTAACCTTGGGCCACTGACAAATAAATTTATGTAACATATTATCAGTTTTGAACTGACCATCACTAAGGTTTATTGATTTTAATTCCTTAATCAAACTAGCTTCAACCAGAAGTCTTTCTGTGACACAAGATGATTTGAATACTTCTAAGCTTTTTTCACAAGCAATGGGGTGATTATTATTCCTAACATGAACGAACAAGGCACTGCTTTCAGATGCAGTTCTGATATTATACTTATGTTGTTTGATTCTGAGCTGCAGTGTTTTCCTGTCTGACCTACATAATTTATTACATTTGCTACATTTGCTACATGGAATACAATAAACACTTCCATTTACATTCAAACTTGGGCTATTCCTTATTAACATATTGGTAATGGTTGAGTCATACTTGAAAACAACATTAATATTTAGAAGCTTGAGGGACCGAACTAACGGGACAAATTCATCACGATAGGGCAGAGTCAAAATATTCTTAATTGTGATTTTATCAAGATTTATCTTATCCACGTTTTCATTGTGGATTTACATGAAATATATATATATATATATATATATATATATATATATATATATATATATATATATATATATATATATATATATATATATATATATATATATATATATATATATGTGTGTGTGGTAAAGGTGTCTTCTAGAATTGAACTCATTATATTTCGGAGGGGAGGATTTCATTACAAAAATTACTTTTGACACATTTAATGCCGAATTCGCTCATTGAACAACAAAAAACCGACCAGCTTTGTGGACCCGTGGACGTTTTCAAAATAACCAGAAAGTTAAATTTTACGTCGTGGATTTTTGACAAGAGCCACATTATGGTTTGGACGGTCTCGAAATTCCTCTAACCAAACCTAACACAATCAAACCAGACATAATCTAACAAAGCATAACTGAACCTAACCTAATCAGGTGTGGTGATCGTAGGACATGCAGTATGGGCCAATAGGCTCGCTGCAGTTTCCTCCATTCTTATAAGAACATAAGAAAATAAGGAGTCTGCAATAGGCCGGTTGGCCTGTGCATGGCAGCTCCTGTCGAGAGTTACTACCACTCTCTATCATCCATGAATCTATCTAGCCTGCTTTTAAAACTCTCCGGTGTTCCAGCACTCACTACAAAGTTGCTAAGCGCACATATACACAATTCACCAGACTGTTATAACCAAACATGGGAGTGGTATTGATAAGGAGACAAATCTAG